AGGTATCACTCAACATGGCCTTGGACGGAGATGCAGACTGTTCCAAAACATATAGTCCTCCGACTTCCTTCCCCTAACCAATAATCTTCTTCGTCAAAAGATCCTGAAATAAACAATAACCGGGGAAAAAGGAGACAAATCAATTCAAAGTCCGTGTGATTTGGCTAATGGAAAGCAAATTAAAGGGAAACTTTGGAAGGTATAATATAGATGACAGGGGTAATGATGAGGTTGCAACAGCACTACCTCTACCTAAAACTGGAACAGATGACCCATCCGCCAGAGTAACTATAGCCCCAAGGTTTGATGGAGAATATGAGGACAAAATATTAGAATTATCTGTCATATGGTCACTAGCTCCGGAGTCAATGACCCACTGTGTAAATGAAGAAGATACACATGCAACAGGATTACCTGTTTGGACCAGGGTGGCAGAAGAGGGCGGTTGATTGGACAGAGACTGAGATGGAGACTGCATAGAAGAATACACCTTCAGTTGATTGAATGCTGCTAACTCATCATCTGTCATAACTACCATATGTCCTCCAGGGCGAGAGGTTGTGTTAGCAAATCTCTGTTGTCTGGGTGGTTTAGGACACTGATTCTTGAAATGTCCTGGATCTCCACAGTTGAAACATACCTTCGGTCCTCCACGGCCCCTTCCTCCACGTCCTCGATGGCGACCACTTCCACCTCGGCTATTGTACCCTCCGTTAGTGTACCCCCCTTGCGACACAAACGTACTTCCTTCGGTGTTGCTTCCTTGTGATATAAAAACATTCTTCTCATGAGGTTCATCAGGTACTGATGCATTCTGTATTTGGGAGAATACTTGATCCTAACTCCTTGTTTCCCAGCAATTGTGACCTAAGAACCTCATATTCTTTGTCAAGTCCAGAAATCCAGCTAAAAGCAATTAATTGATCACCTTGTTCTTTCATTGTCTTTACATCAGTTGTAATAGGCATCACAGTACACAAAGCTTCACTTAAACTTTTGAAATCATAATAGTAGTCCCGTAGATCTCGACCCTTTTGATTAGGACGATAGACATCCTGAGACAACTGATACAGTTTTCTCAAATTACTTGACCCACTAAACCATTCAGACACTAGATCCCACACTGCTTTAACCGTGGTACAATGTTGCATTGATAAGATCACTTTCCTATCAATACAATTAATTACCCGGGATAACAAAGCTTTATCATTTGCCTCCCACTCCTTATAATCTGGAGGGCAATCTTTATCTAAATGGTCACCTTTACCCATTCCATCTAAGTTAATTTTGACCAAAAATTTCCATTCAGCAAAATTAGATCCATCAGCAGCCAGGACTACATCAATTAATTTAGATGGAGTAGACACAACAGTAATATTTTTGTTTCCAGCCATATTTTGTAAGTGCCCAAAAAAAAAACTTGAAATGGGTTTCAATAGTACTGAAGTCAGCTTCCAGTATCCAATAGCCCTTGCAGCAAACAAAAAACACAAAACAGTATTACCGCAGTCCGCAGGTTCGTCGTTTTCTCTCTCGAAGGATATGGAGTCGCTCGGAACTTCTTCCTCTCCACCCAGATGGACTTTACACTTCACGACGAGCCTACCGGTGCAACCGCCGTCGAAGATGGTCGCCGGAAAAACCTTCATGCGCCGGCGCGTGAGTCGGCGAGCAGTGTGTGGCGGTGGCGCGTGGCTGCTCCGGTGACGTCGCGACTTGATCTCCGGCGTCGTCCTCCTGTTCCGAGCAAAGCCCACTACCTCACTCTCACTCTCACCCGCTCTGATACCATGTAGAAAGCTAAAAGGAAGAAGGTCTATGAATACTGACCTTGTATCTCTTCTGGTCTGTTTTCTGTGTATTCTACAAGTACAAGACACATCTATATATATATACACAAGGGAGGGTTATCTATGCCTCTTCACATCCATGTCTGTTCACCTACATTTGACCCTTCACATACTTGTCTATTCATTTCTAACACAAATCAATATCTGTTAGCTAGAGGCACAACTTTTCAACACATATAATACATATCAAATAATAAAGGCACAAGTGTCAAATAGCTCCATCTACTACTTCGAAGTGCTCAATTCCCCCCATCAACTAAAACATAATCTAATTAGACACACTTACTTCTAAAAATTTATCCATTAACTTTTTTTGCAGGTTACCTCCAGGTTCCACCCCACACCGCTAACATGTAATTTTATTTAAATAAAAATGGTGATGATGTGATATTTACTTCCTAATCTCCAACAAGAACTCTAGTCCAACATGCTAAATAATTTCCATTCTCCGCTCTTCAGTCCAGCGACGGAAATTATTTCGCATGTTGGACTAAAGAACGAAGGATTGGATAAATCAGCATTGTTGATAGTTGTATGATGTGGATTTTGATCATGTGCTTCGTCTTTCTTATCTTATTAGTCCTTACGGAGATACTTGTATGATGTGATTTCATTTTGTCATAGACAATTATTATGCAATGAACATCTGAAATTGATGTAATTCTACAGTTTTGGCTCCAAACTGTTTGGGCCTAGGTTGAATGTCATTTTTCCAGAAATTTGCAGAAAACTAATGAAAGAATTGAGTCTAGAATGGAAGAGTATGATACAGTGCACATAATTATACCATGAGAACCAACACAGCTAGAAGAATGGTGAATGTTGTGGAGACTACTGGCATTCTGTAAGCCCTGCTGGGTAGTGTCACCGGAAGTGAGCATTCTTCTCCATTGAAGAATACCTTACTGGGAAAACCATCATTGCGAGCTACATTGAACTCGGGAGTGTTCTTCTTCTTGAAAGAAATCACTGATTGCTGCGTTCCAGGAACTGGGGGATCTCTCCTTGGATTGTCTCTGTTTCTTTCTGCAAGAAGATAGTTTAATCCCGAACCACCTTGTAAGAACAGGGTGTTGCTGGAATTAGTTATGGGTTGTCCTTGGAAAGAGTACACCTTTTCGAATCCCGCCATGGCTTCTTTAGTTTGTAATGTCGTTGGACTGAAGAACGAAAATGAAGAATGAAGAATGGAAATTATTTCGCATGTTGGACTAGGATTCTTGCTGGAGATTAGGAAGTAAATACCACATCATCACCATTTTTATTTAAATAAAATTACATGTCTGCAATATGAAGTGGCAACCTGCAAAAAAAGCTAATCGACAAATTTTTAGAGGTAAGTGTGTCCAATTAGATTATGTTTTAGTTGATGGGGGGAATTGAGCACTTCAAAATAGTAGACGGGTCTATTTGACACTTGTGCCAATAATAAATGTGTAGTCTAACTATGAGTTGACAAACACACCCTTGAATTAGAATGAAATACAATACCCAAGCAATAGCAATTCCTCTAATTACCTGTACATCTCATCTTCAATACTTGACCACTAGCAGATTCCCGGTTTGGAATTTCATTAAAGGTATTCAGTTAGCATATGAATCTGCAAAAGCATATTAATACTAGGGATTAATATAATAGAAATTACAAACTTAATGCCCTGATAACAGATTTGGTAAAGAGTAGAGACAGACCATGGTGAATAGCAATGCAGTTGTATCCATAATTTTCTTGCCAGGCATCATTAATTTCATTGGCAGAAGTCAAACATAAGGGGAGCAAGTTTTTAACTCAATTCATTACATCGAATGATCTCTTCAAAGCTAGTAGGAAACACTTCCAAACTCGAACATCTTTTACGGACTAAGAGATCAAGATAAAGAAATTGTTCCCCTTCATTAAATTTCCAACAAACAAAGTTTTTAGCTTACTAAAATTTCCGTCGGTGCCTTTCCAATTTGAATCATTGGAGACTTGTTTCAGTTTTATCAGCTCAAGGAAAGGAAGCCCAACCAAGTCGTCTTCTAACCTCCAAATTTGGTAATGGAGGATTGGATCAGCACATCATTTCATTTGGCAACCTAATACATGTCGCTTCAGAAGTACCATTTACAATTCACTCTGAGAGCAGATCTGATCAGATCAGAGTGTGAGGCTGCTCAAGTCGTCTTATGTATCGGTACTATGTGATTCATCATCATATTCAGTGCCTAGGATTTTGATCTATCAAAACACAATGCACAAAGTGGGATAATGAAATCAGATCAATAAAAGAAATAGTAACTGATTTTATTATTAAAAAAAAAAAAAGGCAGCATTAAATAGAAAAGAAATAAAAAATTAAGACTGAGTAACTCTTTAGTTTCTAACTGTTATATACAAATCAACACTTGTAACCTAACACATACCATTTTCTAACTGTTATATACTGTGAGGCTGCCCAAAAATTAAAAATGAAAGGCTTTCTTCTAACCTCAAGATTTTGGAAACATTCCTTCCGTTTTACCTGCTTGACAGAAGCGACAAGTGAAGAGTGACATCCCTCCAACTCAATTGTCTCCAACTTGTAACATTTAAAACGTTTAGGCATCTACGCCAAACAATTGCATGATCTTAAGACTAAGTGTCTAAGCACAAAAAAGTTATAAAAGGACCTAACTACCCACTGTTTGAGTTCTTTAGCTTCAAGGAGCAAGAATGATGAAATCTTCCATTAGCTACTTTCCATACTGTTCCATGGAAGGAATTTTCCAACTTGAGCACCTTAAGATGGGGTAACATGCCAATTGCATTTAAATCCCCCTTAGAAATATTAGTCCCACTCAACTTCAACTCCTTCAGTCCTGAAGGAAACCTAGACAGTTCTGGAAGGGCTGCATTGCAACCAATGGAAACCGAAATGCTAAGCTTCTCAAGCCCTTCCAAAGAGTCAAAATAATCCAAAATAATAGGATTGCTACAACATCCTCCAATGTGACTAGGGGGCTCTATGTCATCCTTCAGCAATATTTTCAGCTTTTTTATGTTAGGGAATTTGCTGTACACCTTTTGTCTGCAATGAATTGGTCTCACCACCCAAGATAATGTTTGTAAATTCTTTTTATCTGCACTTGGAGGATCTACCATATATGAATTGCCAAGTTCGAGATGCCTTAAATTTGGTGGCATCCAAATACTAGATGGCAAATGACTGTTGGTGCTCCATTACTGGAAACAACAAGTGTCTCTAAATTTGGATTATTTGACACTACATCATCCAGATCCTGAAACCATTGTGTTATGGATAGGTATCTCAGAAAAACTAAACCTCCTAATTGCACTGGCACTCTTTGAAGTGATATAGAAGTATCAAAAGCCAACACTCTTAACAGCTTGGGAGGAACAAACATTTCAGGATTTTCAAGAAAGAAGCAAATGGAGCGAGGGATGTTCGTACCAAAGAGCACATAATAGTCAAAACTGTGTGAGTAAGAACTTAGCCAACGACGGGAATTTGTAAATGCTTTTAATGATAATTCTGAATGTTGCTGAGTATTTACTGCACATAAAATACCTCTTTTTTGAGCTTCTCCTACGACGAAGCTATGTAAGGCACTGTGCATTCTAGAAGTCTTTATTTTTCCGTTACAACTTCGATCTTCAATTAAGAGAAGACTTCTCTCAGTAAGCTCTTGTAAGTAGTCATAAGCTTCATCTTCTAACTCCTTATGTTTCAATAGCTTCACAAATCCCTCGGCAATCCACAACCTTATAAGCATTTTAACCCGAATTTTTTTACGTTTTGGGAAGACTCCAAAGTATAGAAAGAAAACTTTCAAATGATGTGGCAACATATTGTAACTAACACTGAGTGCACTGCGATCTAGAAGTCCCAATGACTCTAATTCCTTTTCAATCTTTTTCCACCCTTGTTGTATGTTGTTGCATTTAGATAAACGCCTGGCAACTTCAACATGGTTCATAATTTTTTCAAATTTTGGGGCCAAGTGCTCTTCATCAATAGAAAGAATATTACAAAATAGTTCCCAACTTTCTTTTGAATCTAGAAAAGTCATTATCTTATGGAAATTGATATATCTTATCTCGTGGCCATCTAGGTTGAAGTATAGTAGTGTCTAGTGGTTAGTAATGTGTAACTTCCATCTAATCCATTAGAAACACACTCTTTGATGTCAGTCCAAGTTTGCTTGCTCGTAATGTTGTCCAAAACAATTAGATACTTCTTATTCCCCAAAGCATTTGCGTACCTGCATTTCTATTTCATGAGGAGTGCTTCCCTTTTTAATTACATTTGGCTCTTCTACTGGTGTAATTGACTGAAGAAGTTGGCTTAGCATTCTGCTCTCATTGTAGTGTTGAGGAGGAGGCATAGTAACCCAAGCTCTTACATCGAAATGGGACGCAACTGATGGATCTTCATATACATTTCTTGCTACAGTAGTCTTTCCAATACCCACCATTCCAACAATTGAGATTATACCGACCAGTCCATAAACGCCAGAAAGGAGTTGGCTTAGTTGTGGTGGGATTATTTTTTGATAAAGAATAAATCCCTATTTGGTTAATATATATACGTTTTATATATATATATATATATATATATATATATATATATATATATATATACACTAGTATTGTACCCGTGCGATGCATGGTCTATAAATAAAATTTTAATTTACAGTGTTATTGAAATAAACAAAAATGAGATGGATATATGATAATAATAAACTAAACATACGGTATCACAATATATGTGTGGTTTAGAGTTAAACTTAAAAGATTGTTACTCTACTTAATTTTCTTAATTCATATTTGACTCAAATAATATTTCAAGTTTCATAATAGTTAATCAAAAACAATTTGTGGCAATAATTTGTTATTACTTTAAGAAATCAATAAGTATAATTTGGTATTGATGCAATTTTTTACCATATAACTAATCTCTATATTTAAAATACATATAAATACATATAAATATACATACATACATACATACACACACACACACACACACACACACACACACACACACACACACACACATATATATATATATATATATATATATTGAATATTTACAGACACAATAATAGAAATTAAATTGTTATAATAGAAGTACTTGCACGAACTGAATATTTATTAAAAAAATTTACATCAAATTACAATATATGATTTGTAAGACTACATAAGAATGATTTTATATTACAATATAGGATTGTACCTCTAAGTAAAGAAACAAAAAGAATTTTACAAATTACTTCTCAAAACATAAATCATAATCTGTTGCATGCTCAATAACCTAACCTTATTAAAAAAGTACACAATAAACTTTGGAACCAAGAAGCTCTAAGCGTAGTTAACTACTGCTGCTTTGTAGAATGACCTGACGTAAGAAAATAAAAATGTTAAAGCAATCTACTGAGAATCAAATAAACAATAAAATATTTCTAAATGCTAGTCATGGCCAAAAATAACCTAGATCAATCTTAAAAATATTAAAATAAGCAGACCAAAAAAACATTGTCAGAGATGGTAAAGACCAAATATGCATGGCAGCCATGTCAAAATAGTTTCAAAACAACCAAACACCCATTAAGAATTCCATGAATAATTATGACAATTTCTCATACTTTATAACTATATCCTTTTTATTTTTAGAAGTCTGTGTGGATGAAAATTCGTATAATATTTGGACTTTCTGCTACATCTTCTTGACAAAAATACCTGTAACACAAATGTTTACTGTAATGTTTAGTTAGGATTGAACTATTCTAGAGTATGGTCATTGTCAGGGATATCAGTTAGCTCAGGGCCGTGTTATGCATAAACCAATGCACGGTCATTGATAATCTTCATAACCACAAAATATGTTGATTGTCAAATTGCTATTTTCTGACAGCAGTCTTGAAAACCATTGCAATACCACATAATGCTTCAATTTATTTTGACAGTTTCTTTGTTAACTAATCAATAGACATATACAGAGAATAAGTTAATCATAAAAACTGGAAAATAGATTTAATACATACCTCCAGATATCTTTCCGTCACCTGCATTGCTGTCATGCCTATTGGTTGGTTGCACTCTCTACCCCATAGAAGGAATGGCTCATTACCATCTTTATCTACAACTCTCACTCCAAGGTGTAAACTTCTTAATGGAAATAGCATATAGTCTTTTCTGTCTAATTACACATTTAGACAGAAATACTACACATATCTATTTTATATTAACAGTCCTGAGTTTACAACCTCAAAACTAATAAATAAAAATTCAAATTTAATATTTGAATGAAATGTACAGTGAATATAAGTATATGTACAGTGAATACATCAAACGTGTTCCCAAAGATGATCTTGTTATTGTAATCACAATCCAAAGGAGTTTGTTCACCGGAAAGACTAAATATTCAATTAATTAATAAATTAATATACAACAAAAATTTAAGTATTAAAATATAACTTGAATTCATATTGTATCAACACTTTTGATTATACATTGTCTTCCTTAAATTTAGACTGGAATTCAGAAACACGTTCTCTAGAAATATAAGCATGCAAAAAGCATCCCTGTAATAGTATCTAGAATTAAAATAGAGAAAAAATAAATTTATACCTATTGTACTCCATGGGTATTATACACGGATTACATATATACATACATACCTCCTTTGCCATGAAAAACACACCCCTTATACATCATGCTTTCACTGCCCTTCCTATCATGGACATCATACTTACCTTGATAGCCTGCTTGTTCTCATAGGGAATAAATCAGTTGTCGTAGTGAAAAGAGCTGCCATGGAGATCAAAGATTATATTTGTAATCTGAAACAGTGTTGTGCTGTTTTTGAAACTGTAAGAGTGTAAGGTGAGAATGTGTTTTTATAGTTGTGTTTGGAAACATTGAAGAGATATGTGATTTAATGCTATTTTTTGGAATAACAAAGAGACACAATTCTAAACCGGGTGTGAACAATTAATTAAACAATAAATCCTAATCAATAGAATCACCAAGGGTTGAAGATCAAAAGGCCATATGTCTGTTCATTTCTATTCAAATATTAAAGATTACATTAAACCACTAAACTGACAATTCCAAAAAAAATAGCTATAAATGTGAGGCCAAAATAGTGTTTACACTAATTACAAAATGCCATCCTTTTATTTGGGCGGGAATTATTCACCAAATTTATTTTTCCAAGGGGTGTGGCTTTTTTATATAGTAAGATATATATATATATATATATATATATATATATATATATATATATATATATATATATATAATATTTATTCTGATAATTGGAATTTAATTTATAGAAAAATTAATTCCAACCAATTTTGGTATGAAACTAAAATTACAACACACACATACACACACACACACACACACACACACACACACATATATATATATATATATATATATATATATATATATATATATATTATTTATTTATTTATTTATTTGTGTATCGTTTTATTCACCAATATCCAATAGTTGTTGTTGGAGATATTCAATTCAATTTCATCTCAACAAAAGATCAACTTGCAACATATTTACAAAAACTTTGCCTAGTCTTAGATTTTCTTGTCCTAGAGACAAGCTACAGGTTACTAGCATACCATGTGCTTGAGGAGGAGTATTAGGACTATATATTATTAGGACTCTATGTATTTGAGTCACATTATGACTACCTATCATAGTCTCCCTATGATTTCTCTTGTATATATTCCCCTAGTCTGTACAGTTGTTGAGATATCTTATTCAATGCAATTATTACAGTTCTCATCCACTAAATCATTCATAATGGAAATAGAAAACTAAGTGCACTCCTACTAGGAAGTTGTCTAATATTCAATAGGGTTTACTCAGGACACCATGTGCTCTAACAAAAAAAAAAAAAAATGTGTAACATATACTAAATGAAATATTAGTTATTGGGGAACTTCTTGCAAGATTAGCAGTGCTGTGTTAAGCATATATATCTACAAAGACTCAAAAAGTGAAGAGTATTTAGATAGCCAAAAATCTAGATAATCATGAATAGAAATTTTTCTACAACATAGCACACCAATCTGCAAACAATAACTTAATTGCAAATTAAAATTGAAAAGAAACCTAGATGTAAACTCATATCATCATCTCATATAGCTAGGCACCATGATAAACTTGCCTGCTACTATACAGCCACCAACACAAATCCTTTGAAAACCATCAACATTAGTTAACTCAAGCATACTGGGTGTGATCATAGTTGCCTTGAGAATTGTATATTCACAAAACTGGGTGTGATCATACTGCATCTTTCGATTATTTGGGATTTGAGCAAGTTTATGCTTAATGCCCTGCAAATGAGAAACATTTGGCTGTCAATTCAAAGAATAGCTTTTGAATGAGAAACCAGAAAACTAGTCATGTTTTATTATATATATAGATCAAATAGTATGTTAGTTGCAATATGTCTTTGCATAAGTACCACTTTTCAAATAACAGTAAATTCACTGTGAGCTTCGTCAAGTCATCTTCTACATGTGGGTACAGTAGTGATTCCTCATAATCAAGTCCGATAATTTTGATCTATAGAAAAATAAGACAACAAAATAAGATCAGAGAAAGAAATAGTAAAGGTTTTTATATATAAAGAAAGTAAAAAATTAAGAATGAATTGAAGCATGTTGTACTATACTATACGTAGCTTCTAACCTCAAACATTCTTCATCGTAATGGATGCAGCGGCCTTTCCCAAACCACAAGTGACATTGGGCTCTAAGTCATCTTTAATCTCTTGCAAATGAGAAACTATTTGTCTGTCTATCAAAGGTAAAATAAAAATTAAAGCAATATCAGTCAAATATAATTTCTCTATTAAAAAATTTCCATTCTCTGTTGTGGAAGAGAATGCTTATTCTGCAGGCTCTACAACCTCTATAAAGAATACAATTTTTCTGCAAGCCATTTCATGCAATGCATTATCTGCAGTCTAGAGCATTCAGTTGCTTAAAATAAAATGGTCAAAAAAAAATTACCTGAGGACTAACTTCAGGATTTGAGAGCGATGTTTTTGAAACCAGGACCGCTGTCAAATATTTGATTTGATGCCTTACAAAATACCTGAAATGGATGTAATCAATCTCACGATGCATCTAGAGTCTATAGAATTCAATTGCTTAAAACAAAATGGTTAAAACCTCACCTGAAGAACGACTACAGGATCTAAAGCACTTTGTTTGAAACAAGAATCACAGTTAAATCTTTGATTAATTTGAGGCCTTACAGAATGCATGAACTATCAGTTTGGAAATTTTTTAAAAAGGTATCCAATTAGCATACCGATCTGCAAAAGCATTTTAGTACTTAGGATTAATTGCAAAACATAAAGGAATCATAGATGTAAAGTAGTATGATCATCACATCACATATAGGCACCAGATGAACTAGAAATGACAAATCTACCTGCTTGCCCCTCTCACCAACATCAACATTAGGCCAGGGCATCTCCAAAATAGTGCAAAATGAGATCAGAAAAACAAATAGTAACAAGTTTGTAAAAAAAGTTAGCATCCATATGAAATAGAAAAGAAATAATTGAGAATGGATCATATGCTGTAGCTTCTAAGCTCAAAAATTCCATTTCCCATTTCAACTTGCCAGTCTCGAATATGCTTAGCAAAAGAACCAACGGAAGTGCTACACTGATCCAACTTAATTGACCGCATGGTCAAATTTTGTGTTAAACACCTCTTCCAAACAATAACATCTCAAGACTAACCACTTGAGATGTAGGAAATCACCATTACCTGCCCAATGCTCGAGTTCATTAATTAGCTTCAAGAAACAAGAATCGTAGTCTACATAATTTTCCTTTAGCTACTTTCCATACTTTTCCATGCATGGAAGGTATTCTCCAAGTTGCTGGTAAACCTTCTCATATTCTCATCTCTACCGTTTTTACACTGAAAACAATGCAACAAACACATCATTGTTACAAAAAAAAAATTGCAGAGGTGCAAGTTTTGCCAGATAAATTCATGCCGTGAATCTAGAGAAATACTGCTTCTCTAACTGCATTATATTGTAGTAAACTATTTACCACCACCATTTAAGTGGTTAGTTAACCTCTCAAATTTTGCTCCCATCCATAAAAGTAGAGTTGTTAGCAATCAAAGAGGGGTGAGTTTTGGGAGATAATTTCCTATTGTAATTGTAAAAGGAGTGCCCACTTAAAGTAAAATGGTAACAGATCACTGTCAAATCAATGCTTTGAAGCCATACATGATGCATAAGATGGAGGTTATTTATTGTTAATTACTTAATTCTAATAAGAGAAGTTTTTTAAAAAAATATGTACTGTATATGCATGCAATGAATATGCAACTATATGTACTGTATTTGGCTTGCAAATAAAAATATAGGAGCAAGACACATGTAACTAACACATACCGTTTTCCAACAGTTATTTACTATGAGGCTGACCGCCCTAGTCATCTTACATATATAGACAATTCTGTAGGTGTATTCTGTGAGTCATCATATTCAGGGCCAAGGATTTTGATCTGTGAAAAATAATGCACAAAAACAAATGAGATCAAGAAAAAGAAATACTAACTGATTTTGTAATGAAAGGCAGCATTGAACAAAAAAGAAATAAAAAGAAACATAATTTAGCTTCTAACCTTATCATTCTTGGATCTTCTCTTCTGTTGTAACTGCTTGGCAGAAGCGACAAGGGAAGAGTGACACCCCTCCAACCCAATTGACTCAAGTAGCCGTATTCTTTCAAAACGCATCGGCATCTGTTCCAAACAATTACAGGATCTTAAGACTAAGTGTCTGAGCATCCGAAAGTGCTTCTTCTGGCCAACTACCCACTGCTTGAGTTCTTTAGCTTCAAGGAGCAAGAATCTTAATTTACAAAATCCTCTTTCTGCAACTTTCCATACAGCTCCATGGAAGGAATTTTCCAACTTGAGCACGATAAGCTGGGGTAACATGGCAATTACATTTAAATCCCTCTCAGAAATATTTGCCCCACTCAACTTCAACTTCTTAAGTCCTGAAGGATACATACACTGCTCTGGAAGGGCTGCATTACAACCAATGGAAACCGAAAGGCTAAGCTTCTCAAGCCCTTCCGAACAGTCAAAATGATCCAAAAAAATAGGATTGTTGCAACATCCTCCAATGTCACTGGGCTCTATGTCATCCTTCAGGAAAATTTTCAGATTTTTTATGTTAGAGAACTTGCTGTACACCTTTTTTCTGCAATGAATTGGTCTCATCACCCAAGATAATGTTTTTAAATTCGCTTTATCCACACTTGGAGGATCTACCATATATGAATTGCCAAGTTCGAGATGCCTTAAGTGTGGTGGCTTCCAAATACTAGATGGCAAATGGATAGTTGGTGCTCCACTACCGGAAACAACAAGTGTCTCTAAAGTTGGATTGTTTGACACTACATGATCCAGATCCTCAAACCATTGTGTTATGGATAGGTATCTCAGCAAAACTAAACCTCCTAATTGCACTGGCACACTTTGAAGTGATATAGAAGTATCAAAAGCCAAAACTCTTAACAGGTTGGGAGGAACAAAAATTTCAGGATTTTCAAGAAAGAAGAAAATGGAGCGAGGGATGTTCGTACCAAAGAGCACATAATAGTCAAAACTGTGTGTATAAGAACTTAGCCAACGACAGGAATTTGTAAACATATTTAATGATAATCCTGAATGTTGCTGAGTATTTACTGCACATAAAATACCTTCTTTTTGAGCTTCTCCTACGCAAAAGCTATGTAAGGCACTGTGCATTCTACAAGTCTTTATTTTGCCATTACAACTTTGATCTTCAATTAAGAGAAGACTTCTTTTAGTAAGCCCTTGTAAGCACTCATAAGCTACATCGTCTAAGTCCATAGGTGTCAATAGGTTCACAAATCCCTCGGCAATCCACAACCTTATAAGCATTTTAACCAGAATTCTTTTACGTTTCGGGAAGACTCCAAAGTATAGAAATAAAACTTTCAAATGATGTGGCAACATATTGTAACTAACACTGAGTGCATTGCGATCTAGAAGTCCCAATGACTCTAATTCCTTTTCAATCTTTTTCCACCCTTGTTGTATGTTGTTGCATTTAGATAAACGCCTGGCAACTTCAACAATTAATTGGGGTAATCCATCACATTTCTCCACAACATGATTCTTAATTTTTTCAAATTTAGGGGCCAAGTTCTCTTCTTCAATAGAAAGGATATTACAAAATAGTTCCCAGCTTTCTTTTGGATCTAGCAAAGTCATTTTATGGATATGGATATATCTTATCCTTTGGACATCTAGGTTGATGTAGTCTCTAGTGGTTAGTAGTATGTGACTTCCAAATAATCCATTAGAAACACACCCTATGATGTCATTCAAAGCTTGGTCCCAAGTTCGCTTGATCATAATGTTGTCCAAAACAATTAGATACTTCTTACCACTAAAGCATTTGCGTACCTGCATTGCTAGTTCATGAGGAGTGCTTCCCTTTTTAATTACACTTGACTCTTCTACTGGTGTAATTGAGTGAAGAAGTTGGCTTAGCATTGCGCTCATATTGTAGTGTTGAGAAGGCATAGTAACCCAACCTCTTACATCAAAATGTGATGCAACTGATGGATCTTCATACACATTTCTTGCTACAGTCGTCTTTCCAATACCCACCATTCCAACAATTGAGATTATACCTGGTATGTCAAAAGAGGGAGAAAAGAGTTGGTCCTTTATGACTCTACAATCATTGTGACGGCCAACCATTCTGCCATCAGAATCAACATTCGCAGCGCTAGCATGTCTTAACCAAGCATTTGATGGTTGAGTAGTTAGATTTGCCTCATCAACTTCATTGCTGCTTCTACTTTTGATTATGTTCAACAACTCTTGATGGATATTTTGCAGGCGCGTTGCATATTTTGCAGCTTCTTGCAAAGTTTGATGGAGGAGGAGTTGATGGGAAGCTGCAGCTTTTTCTCCTCCGTGTTGATGAGCGAGAAGGAAGTTGCTAAGGTGTTGTTCAATGTTATCTTCAGCTTTGAGTGCAAACTCTCTGATTTCCATTTCTAAATCTCTCAATTTCAGTACTGTATCACCATCACCATTACGACTGGATTCCAACTGGAGAAGGAGGGCTTCAAAAGTAGAAAGGTTTTCAAAGAAAGAGAAGGATCCTACTCGATCACGGAGAGACTGAATCTGGATAATGGTTTTAATGAGAGAAGTTAAAGCAACAAAAGCCATCTATCTCTCAATAATTCAAATCTTGAATTGAATTTGCTGGATGGTAAGAATATGTATGAAGTTTTAAGTTTTGGTATTGCACACTCAAAACTAGATCGATCAAATATGCAAGCAACACTCTGATCTCATCGATCTGAGAAGAGCTAATTAGGCTTATCTAGTTTGTTTGTTTTTTTTTTTTTAATCCTTCTGTCTTCTAGACTTCTAGTATGTTAAAAATAATAATAATTAATAGCTTTGCATTATTGTGGCTCCATCCCCATATCTTTACACTCCATATACCACTAAATACTAAAGTTGATAGCTAAAAAGTTCAATTAACACACTCACATAAAAAAGTTTGCATTATTGTAGCAACTTTAATTATACAATTCATTAAATATTATTATATTTTCAATGTTAATAATCACAATTAATTAAGTGTCTATTATAACCTCTTCCATGACCAATTCAATAAAAAACCTACATGAGGGAGCATTTGCTTCAACTCAATTGACTGTAACAGCAACAATACAAGGCCTGCACTGTTTCAACTCAATGATGAGTTTTACCACCGGGGACCAACGTGCAATAAACATTTGCTATTACCATGTGTTGGATTTAGCGTTGGAGGAATGAGTCATTTTTCATTGAAAAATTAAACTCGCAAAGTCTTGACTATCTAAGGGTAATTGTAGCCATCTATATATGTTGTGGCACTACGACTAGATACTTTAAAAAATGGTCTTCGCATCAAATGAGTTAAATTGAATACGGATGGATGTTGCAAAAGATGGATTATAAGCAAGATTAATGATGGGAGGAAAGCTCCAAGGAATAAATCTAAGTTTTGGATTGATCTGAAGATCTATGAGGTTGTATAAGGAATTAATAATTCAAAATATATATTCCTATTAAATCCAATTGCAATAATACGAAATTAAATCAAGGTTTGACATTTGTGCACACACAATTTTTTTTTAAATTGATTTGCTTCCTGTCAATTTTCTAGCATACAATGGATTACCAACGAAAATATTTGAGTGGTCCACAACCTAATTAGCATATTAATTATGATTTTGCTACGTTTGAGGAAGATTCCAAGATATACAAAGCAAGCTATAAATATTGTAACAGCTGATTGTAAATACGACCAAGTGCAGTACAATCCATCTAGAGTTTCTTTTCAATCCTTTTTTTCATTCTTGTTCAGAAATTTATGGATATAGAAAATACGCTATTTGGGGTTAAGTTGCCTTCAAGCGGATACAAAGTATTCCTTAGCTTGTACAGAGGGGATGGAAGACTTAAAAACAAACCATGCACACCAATAATACAAACTCAAATCATTTCTATCACTAAACAACATGTAACAACACAATCCAATTACTTTTTTTTTTGAAAGCCAAGGAAACCAGATTGCATTAATCAGTAGAAGAAATAAAGGGAAGTAGAAAATCCCTCCAGACATTACGAGTATCAATCGCACTAACATGCTTTGCGAAGGCATGAGCTACCGTATTGGCATCTCTGCGTACAAATTTAATAGAGCATGAATGAAATGAACGAAATAAACGTAAACATGAATCTAAAATAACACCAAGGTACAAACGATAGGAAATCGCATCGTGGAAGCTAGAGACAAGGACCGCACAATCCGAATAGATCAAAACGTCGTGAAAATTATGCTCATGTAGCCAAGATAGAGCTTCTCGTATCGCCATGGCTTCAGCTAGGAGTGGATCATATGGGCATACAAGAGGACCGTTAGCAGCCGCAACAAAGCCACCCTCTCCATTACACACGTAAAAACCATAGGTCGGGGCCGTGTCGACGAAACCTGCGTCTGTGAAGCAGCGGACTGCACCGGTCGGCAACAGGTTCGGACTTTCCAATGCAGACGGCAGATTGGGGGCAGCCGGAGTGGGGGAGGCAGCCAGCGTGTTGTTCGAAGCCCAGGTAGCCCAAGTATTCAGAAAACCGTGACATAGATGCGAGGGGGTAGGTAGAACAAAATCCCAAACAGCCACATTCCGAGCTCTCCAAATTTCGTAGAGTATTCCACATATTTGTTCTTTTAGAAACCCAGAAGATATTGCTGAGGATCCCAACCAAACCTCCACCCACTGCATAAAATCATAACCATCAACGTTAGGGATAAGAAGGCGTGAAACATTCCACACACGTCTAGCATAAGTACAAGTACATAAAATATGCATAATATCCTGCTCACAAACCCCACAAGTCGGGCAAATATTAGGGATCTCTACTCTTTTTCTAACCAAGTTGGTGATAGTTGGCAAAATATTAGAAAGGGCTTTCCAAATTAAAGAAAAATCCTCCACTTGGGAGGGACCTTGAGCTTCCAAATGTTATTCCAGACTGCATCAGGGGTGGTGGTCAACTCCCCCAGGCATTTATAACCATCCTTAACCGTATATTGTCCCCTGATATCTCCCTTCCAAAACAAATAATCCCTGAAATTAATACTTACTGGGATTTGTAAAAGTAACTCAGTATCCCTGGGAACAAATAACTGAGTAACCAGCTCACGATTCCATCTCCCCTGATCATGGTCCAGCAGGTCAGCTACCATGAGATCCGGGTGTTGGGTAACTTGATTAGTAAGCACAAACGGATCCTGGGAGTCAGGCAACCACGGATATGACCAAACATTGGTTAATCTACCATCACCAATTCTGCGCATGCAACCACTACGAATTAGGTCCTGACTGGCCATAATACTCCTCCAAACATAACTCGGGTTACCACCCAAGGTGGCCTCATAAAAAGTAGTATCACGATAATATCTCGCTTTAAATATTCGGGCCATTAAAGATTCCGGGTTGGTTAATAGACGCCACCCCTGTTTCCCTAACAGTGCCAAATTAAATTCATGCAGACGTTTAAAACCCATACCACCATGCTTCTTGGGCACACACATCCTATCCCAGGCCAACCAATGGATCCCAGCTACTGTGGTACTCTTACCCCACCAGTACCTGTTCATCAGTCTTTCCAAAGAGGCACATAAAGTTACAGGCAACAAATAAATACTCATAGTGTACGTAGGCATTGCCTGATCAACACTTTTAAGAAGTACCTCTTTACCCGCCATAGAAAGCAGCCTCTTATTCCAGGAACCAAACCTCTGTCTCAATTTCTGCTCCACATAGGAAAAAACAAATTTCCTGTTCCTACCAACAACCGAGGGAAGACCCAAATATTTTCCAAAATCCTCTGCCTGCTCCACACCCAGCCCCACGACAATAGTATCCCTGTCCAACAAAGTAGTATTTCGACTGAAAGAAATGTTAGACTTATGATAGTTGACCGACTGGCCCGAGAATTGCTCATAGATCTCCAAGCAACGTTTCACTTCCATGGTTTCCTGCATGTTAGCCTTGAAGAACAGTAGGCTATCATCAGCGAAGAAAAGGTGGGAGATGGGAGGGGCCCCACGCGCCACTCTGCAGCCATGGATCCGACTTTTAACCTGGGCATCCTGCAACAATAAAGACAAGCCTTCCGCACAAATAATAAAGAGATATGAAGAAAGCGGATCCCCCTGCCTTAGACCCCTCAAGGGCACAATCTCCTCACTCGGTTTCCCATTCACCAGGACCCTATACTTGACTGTCCGCACACATAACATGATTAAATTAACCCATTTAACATCAAAGCCAAGCCCCAATAACATTCGTTCCACAAACCGCCATTCCATCCGATCATAAGCTTTGGCCATATCTAGCTTCAGGGCTGCCCACCCCACACGCCCCAACTGTTTCCGTCTCAGATAGTGACCCACCTCAGACGCAATAAGAATATCATCTAAAATAAGCCTACACGGAAGGAAAGCACTCTGCGACTCAGAAACAATACCATCCAACAACGGTTTCATATGGTTAGCTATCATCTTAGCCATTACTTTATACACAACATTGCATAAAGCAATAGGCCTCAAATCAGCAACTACCTCTGGGCATTCTTTTTTGGGACTAGAACAATATTGGCATCATTCAATTCAGGGGGAAAGGATGATTGAGATAAGCATGCAAGAACAAAATCTGTAAAATCCTTATCAATGAGATCCCAAAAGGACTGGTAGAACCCCGGATTCATTCCATCCGGTCCTGGCGATTTGTCTTTACCCATGGCGAACAAAGCTTGTTTCACCTCTGCCGGCTCAAAAGGGCGGAGCAAATCATCATTCTGAGCACGAGTGACCCGGGGTGATAAGGTATCCACTTGAAAAACACCCGCGTCCCCACCTGTCTGGAAAATTTTCTTGTAATAGTCCATCACTAGAGAAATAAGACCATCACCCTCCTTCCATACTCCATTCCCATCCTTTAGCTTTATAATGGAATTCTTCCTTTTACGATGCGTGGCATACTGATGAAAAAACTTCGTGTTCCGATCCGCCCCCTGCAGCCAGTGTTGCTTGGCCCTTTGCTTCCAAAAAGACTCCTCCTGCAACAAGACAGTACTCAACTGCCCATCAAGTTGCCTGAAGTGACTCAAGGAATCCGGGTCCATCCGTCCTCTCAACCCATTCATCTCACGTTTTATCTCTTCTATTCTTTGCCCAAATTTATGAAAACGTTCTCCCCCCCCCGCCCCCCCCCCCCCCCCCCCACCTCTTAAGGCCACGGCCACACAACGACAGCCTCTCCTGAAAACCATACCCTTGCATATTAGACCACTCCTCCGCCACCACCTCCCTACAGCCTTCATCTCTCAGCTACGCGTTCTCAAAGCGAAAACCGCACGCCTTCCGTGATGAGCCAGAACCATACACATCAAGAAAGAGCGCCGTATGATCCGACCCCACTGTTTGAATGTTGTATAACCTGGCATTACCATGAAAACCCCTCCAGGCTGCATCTGCCACCGCCCTATCCAGACGTTCCTCCACCCAGTTCGGAGTTCCCTTACCCCGTTCCCAAGTGTAAGGATAACCCAACATGGGTAAAGTAGTCAAACCACAGTCTTCCAATGCCTCCCCGAAACCCTCCAACCAACCTACAGGATGCGGCCGTCTACCCCTTTTCTCAGATTGTAACAACAGGTCATTGAAGTCCCCCTATAACCACCCAAGGAAGGCTTGATGCATCCTTAAGTGACCTTAAGAAATCCCACGCCTCCCTCCTCCTCGTACTCTGCGC